GCTTAATATTTACAAATACTAGTGGGAGTGGGAGTGTGCTCACTTGTGTGTGCGCGCATCGGGGCGGAACTCCGCTGTGCGCGATACAGAGTAGGGATGGGGAGTCGACTCCAAAAGAGTCAATTCCTCGACTCTGAATAGCCCTAGAGTCGGAGTCGACTCCAGCACTGGAATCGACTCTCGGTGTCGACTCGGAAATCGCTGATGTCTTCACTGATTCTCAAATCCCTATATAGTGCATGGCAGTTGAGTGCTATATATCAGCAAAGAGTGAACGAAATTAAGCGAGGATCCGTTTGCAGTGCAGTCCGTGTGCGGTGCAGAAGCAGCACGGGCTCAGTGTGCTTTATTTAGTGTGCTCAGTGCGCTATGATCCGCGGCTGTTTACCACCATTATTTTGATTTCAAATTCGAGCGTTGTTACTAATTTTTTCTCTCTGTCAGCATAGTGATTATCTTTTCACACAGTAATACTATCTTTCATAGACATATTCACGTGTAAGCGCAGTATTATTAAATGCATTTTACTTCTGTACTGATTTATATATTAAGTTTATATATTAAGATGCTCAAGCAAGTGGCAAAACATGTAAACACAGCCTACAGTCTACTTTTCTTACGTTAAGGTAGTAGGCTATCACAATTTTAAATGAAAACTTACCATTGACAGAAACAGCCATCTCGTGCCTTTTTTGTTTTTTTTGTATTTAGGCTACATTACAAGTAACCCTGCTGGTCATAAAAAGAACTTTGTTTTCTAACTCCACGAGTGCCATCGGTTACCATGAATGAATGATGAATGAATGATGCATTTATATAGCGTTTTTTTATTGTGTATTGTTGTACACCCAAAGCGCTTTACAATCATGTGGGGGGGTCTCTCCTCAACCACCACCAGTGTGCCGTATCAATCCATGTACATTTTTAACGTGAGCAATGCCCTGTCACTTTAATTCAACATGTGCAGCACAGCAAAAATAAAATAGGCTTGGTGCGGGAACGATCGCTGCTATGCTGCATATACATACCGCTCGTAACGCATCGAGTGAATGTTCAACAAAAGCAAATGCTCAAAAAGAAATCACGCACTGCAAACGGAGTATGTGTGAAACAGGTGTGGAATAGTAAATGTAGTTTGTAATTACACATGCTTCTGTGACAGCTTTGTATAATTGATGTTTTGTTATGCAATGTTAGCCTATGTTTAATGCAGTCAATAGCCTATAGGCTACATTTGGTTTTCCATAGGCTATTCAATACTAAGTACACGCACTGCAAACGGAGTATGTGTGAAACAGGTGTGGAATAGTAAATGTAGTTTGTAATTATACATGCTTCTGTGACAGCTTTGTATAATTGATGTTTTGTTATGCAATGTTAGCCTATGTTTAATGCAGTCAATAGCCTATAGGCTACATTTGGTTTTCCATAGGCTATTCAATCATTAAACTAAGCTTAAATCATTAAAAACTGACACATAATAAACAAGAATAAACAAATCAGTAAGTGTAGGCCTACATTCGTATGTATTTTTGTATTTAGGCCTATTGTATTTATTTTTTAATATCAATGCTGTTTAAGACTATGCGTTTAGCGCCATCCCCTGACCATTATGTGACGAATTCATTAAAGAATATGTTATTTTTTATTTAATTCTGAGAGAATATTCCACCACGGCTGTTTTTCGTGACTTTGCAACAGCAAAAAAACGGTGATAGCTCATTTAAAGGTAATGTCACCGCTAAATTGGACTAAATTAGACAGTCACGCTAAATGGAGTCGAGGAGTCGATTCCGAAAAACCTGGAACCGAACACCCTACTACAGGGACTGATTTTGCACACATCATTCTCTTTCTATGAAACCTGTAGACCGCATTCACCGCTTCTAACTCTATAGCGACACCAACTCTATAGCGGTTTGCCCGAGCATTGCAACTATTTTGCATTTACTAGAATTCAATCAAATGGCTTTCCCAACTCATTTTTGCGTTTGTCCTGTGCGCGGCGTATTATTTCTTCTGCGCGGCCACACACGTGTGCAGCTTAGAGGGAATATTGCATATGGTACCACTTCGATAAAGTTGTTGTAGAAACATTTTTATCAAAGACTGAAGAAAGATAATATTGTTTAAAGAGTTTTTGTCTCATTTTAACATTGTATCAGCCTCCCTCTTTTTGCTCTGCATATTGTTCTGCTCTATATGAGAGATTATATAAAACAATTATATTCTTCCCACCATTGCAGAATAGAAGGCCAAACTGACTATAGAACAGCAGGGTGGGCTTCGATGAACAGCCCAGCACATACACACGGCTGGCTCCAAAAGCACCGCAGGACACTAATGTTCAATAGTGCATTGAACTTTTCAACTCTCACGACTGTTAACTTCAAGAACAGTTGTTTGGTGATGGTTTGTGTGTACCAAGCAGGTTGAATCTCAGATTACATGTCCCCAGTAGCTATGTGCTTATCTGACAGTTGTCCAATGAAGTGCTGAGCAAGTAGCAATACATGGCGATTTTTGCAAAACTTGACTTTCCACAGCATGTACAGCGCATTTGTTAGAAGTGCATTAAAATAATGCATTTAGTAACTACTATATTTTGTAGCCATCAACAAGGTATCCATGTATATGTGGTAGTTCTGCCCAGTTGTTTACAGCCCCAAGCTGAAGATTTTAAGGACACTTTTAAGGACAACTGCCATATAGTCACTATGCATCCAAATACTTCAAGTGATATGTGCGCAAACAGAACTATTCATATATATATATTAGGGTTGTGCGATATGGACAAAAAAAACCTATCGCGATTTCTTTGATCAATTTTGCGATTTCGATTTTAATCACAATTCTGACACACACAGACATGCTTTACAGTCATAAATGCATTCAGTGTGAATTTGAAACATATTTCCAAAAGAAAACCAATTAGAGCTTTATCAAGAAGCTGTAACATGTCTCTAGAACAGACATAAGGCAAAATAATCACTAAGTAAAGGTGTAACAAAATGTCTCTAGAATAGACATATGGCAGGAAAAAAAATCCCGTGTCCAGGGATTTTTTTTGCCATGCATTGGTCATAGAGCTCTTTGTGGCGTTGCCTCAGATGTTGAACTAGATTTGTTGC